ACTATCAATTCCTAATGTGTGCAAAAGAGGAAAAATAATACAACAAAACTTTGACCATACAGTGAATCCTAATTTGTTTATGAAATTCCACACAAAAAAAAAATGCAGCTGAAGGTTGTGTATCTATATAGATATATACATACACACATATATATAAATAAAATTTTGTGAGGCTCAATTTTCAAGTTGCGACATGTCCAATTTCAAGTTTCTAGAATTTAATTTGAGCTTCAAATCTAAGAGCATCTTCAACAATGCTATCTAAAATAACTATTTAAAATATATTTAAATATTGTATTATCTATTTTAGCTAATTACTTTTTCAAAATCACTCTAACAACTCTATCTATTTTAGTTAACCACTTCAACTAACTTTCAATAATAAAATTCAAAAAATAGCAATTCAATTATACATTGTACAAATTTAATCAATTATAAGCTACAAGAGAAAACTCATCTCCCAAAAATTACTACTCCCAAACTAAATTTCTTAAATTAAATCACAAAATCCAAAACAAAATCACTTTTAAATTTTTGAATTTGATCGAAGACTTATAAAGGCTTCGAGTTTGATCAAACTAGATGTCATCGTCTGTCCATCGATCGCCTCATCCAAACACTAGACCAATAACTTCTGAAGTAGTTAGGGAGAAGTGGCTAACTAGATGTAGCTAGTGAAAATAAGGTTATGGAAAATAGATAGGAGAATAGTTAGTCTGTTGGAGCCACGTTTTCAGAAGAAATAGCTATCTAAAATAGCTGAAAAAGGGATTTTAACTAACCTTTTGGAGTTGTTATAACATTACAATGCAAAAAAAAAAAAAAAAATTGAAAAGTTAATAATAAGCAGACTCTAAGATGGCAAGATGAATAAGTTTTTTTTTTAATAGGAAACAGGATGAATAAGTTATTGGTATAAGTATCACAAGGAATGGAACCAATTTCCCTTCGGCCTACTGTACCAAATCCTATGTTACTGAATCTGTAAAAATCAAATAAAGGAAAAGAAATGATGGGCCTAATCACTAGGTGACAACATTAGCATGCAAAGAGAAACAGAGTGACTTGAGACAAAGCATTAAGGTCTATTTCTGATTTTTCATGAAGCTGTCAGTTTTAGCTCTGCACTTTCTAGCCTTATCAGGTACTTTGCTTCTTTCCCACTTGTGTTGCATACCATTAAACAGGTACATGCTTTTGGGTGTCTCCAAACGTTTCAGCTATCAATCTGAGGTATGTCGTGCTTAAAAGACTTAAATTACTTTTCAAATGAGTTCCATCGTGTTCCATTGATTTTCCTAGAACATGATAATAACACCAAAAATAGCAATAACAATTATAATCATAATTATAGTGCTATGTCTTCCACACAGTCCCTCTATCAGGATTCATCATATACAAGTCCCTTTTTCCATCAGTCACCTTAGTAATATATATATATATATATATACCAATAATAGATGACCCCATATTGATTTCCTAATATCCATGCCTCTTAATTTTCAATTGGGGAAAACTCTCTTCTTACACGACCTTCATCAAAATCGAAAGCCTTCTCAAAAATGTTCAATAAATAAAAGAAATTAAACTAAATCTTCACAAATTCAACAACAAGCGAAATGGAAAAATATTAGATAGATAAAGCACAATAATAGAGCTAAGAATATGTAAAGGTACTTTCAAAATCACAGAACAATGTGAGCTGAGAGAGAAAAGACGATCAAAGAGACGCCTGAGAGAGAGCCAACGAGGAGTCGTCGCTTGAGAGAAAGCCGATGAGGAATCGTCATCTGAAACAGAGTGAAAGCAAGAGAAGTTGCTAGAGTCGAGAGGGTGAATTGGGGAAAAAATTAGGTTTATGTTGGGGGAGAAAAAAAAAAGCTTTTATTATTTTTAATTAAGAATTTGTGGCTTTTAACTTAAACGCCGGAAATTAAGTGCAAAAAGAAATTATTTTTATTAATAATTTGTGGCGTGTTTAAGCAAATGTCAGTTTTAGTGGCGTTTAAGTTAAACACCGGTAATTAAATTCCAGATTTTTTCATAATTCTTGTAATGGATCACAATTCTCCACCATTACAGCCCAGGCAGAGACGGAACTAGTATGAGGCCTAAACATTAAAAGTCTAGAAGAGCTTGAAAAGATTTTGCCCATTATCGTCGGTTAGTGTTCTAATTCTTGCTTATCAATAAAATTTGAAATTTGAAATTTTGACTAATATTTTAGATGTAGGGAGATTATACTGTTTATTGAATTGTGGGGTACATTTTTGGACATAAACTATTATATGCTTTGGATTTAGTGGCTGTTTGTAATTTTTTTTATTTTTTCAATGTATTGTTCATGATATATGCTTGAGTAGTAATTGTCTTAGTTTTTTGTTTGTTTGATATATTTTAGGCTTTATAAAGTAGGATATAATATAGTTCACGTAACGTTATTATACTATGAATTTTTGTGTAGAAATTGACCTCCCAAGTGATAAAATTATAGTTCCGTCCTTTGCCTAATCGAAAAAACGTAGCCAAAACACCTAGCTTCCCCACAGCAGAAGGCTTAACCCAAAAAGACAGTGTTAGCTCCATATCCTAACCCATGGTCAATCATGCACTCACCTATCAGCACCCTACCATGGCAAATCACACACTATCTTGAGCTTGTAAGCGGACACATTGCCATGACTAATTACACACTCAAATACCCAACAGAGCCGGCCCCCATCCAATCACGTATACAAATACCATGTTGACAACCCCACGCCATTACAGCACCTTATACAATCTCATCTATTGCACTCAACCACCACTGACTGCTGTTAAAACACAAACCTTTAACAATGTAGCATCTAAAATCTAGTTGATCTACATAGCTTAACTCTTTCAGTCATTTTTTAATCCGCAACTGCTCTATAACTTATCAAGACTATTGTTTTTTAGTTTTGTGCGAGAGATTGGTGACTCTTGCAGTGTGTATTGCACACTATGGGAGGAAGAAAGATATGAAAGATAGGAGTTAAGAATTTGAGAACGTAAATGCGGTTTCTACTTAGAAGCGTGGGCGACAAGTGGACGAGGGAGGAGTACTAGAGTGGCGGTGTTATGCATGAAAGATAGATGGAAGAGAGACTTTTATATATGTTTGAGAGAGAGAGAGAGAGAGAGAGAGAGAGAGAGAGAGAGGGAGTGCACATGCATTCGGGAGTGTTCGTCAATGAGTTCAGGATTAAGCATAATTGGTCTCATTGTCATTCAAGAAGATAGGGATACGGGGAAGTAGAATTACATTTGGACTTAAAAATTTGATTTAATTCATTGATTTAATAATGTTGTTTTAATGGAACTATTAGATCAATATCAAATTTTAATAATTAATTAAGACCATAATTAGGACTTTTAGTCGAATAAGTCTAAGCCGAATTCGAGCTGACCTTGAAAAACTTGCTTATTAATCGAACCTAAAAAATTGTTCAAATTCAACTCGTTTAAGAAATGAGCCGAATCTGAGCGAGCCAAAAATAAGTCAAGCCCGAGTATTTACACATAAACGAGTCGAGTTTGTCGAGTTTAAGTCAAACTTGTAGGGCTTGTTTTTTAAACGAGCATAAAAACTTGTTCAAATTCGGACTCGTTTAAAAAACGAATCAAGTTTGAACAAACTAAATTCAAACCGAACTCAAGTCAAGCTCAAGTAACTTAGTTTGATTAACAACCCTATCCACAGTCAATCCAAATATTATAGCAAATTAAGTCAAAAAATTAGATTAATAAATTATGTCACGATAGCATTGTTCAACTGGGATATATTGGTCTGTTTATTAATTATGTTACTTCCGCACCATGACAAATGCAATAATTGTGTTATTTTTTAGTTAAAATTGTCCATAACTCCAATTCGGTGACCTATTTTGTCGATTACTCAAAGTAAAGACTTTTTAAGACATTAAATCTAGCTCAATTGATTTTTTTTTATTTTTCTTTTTTGTCTTCTAATCCATACTAATATCATTTTTTATTTTTTACGAGAATGCCCCCATTTGACATTCACATATTTGTAACTTGCAAAATGATGTATTTAGTTGTCCTCTCTCTCTCAATTCTCTCAAAAATTACAAATTTGGATCATCAGACTCGTCACTAGCATAACAAATATTGGAGTTGTTTAAAAGATTGGTAACTTCACCACCAAAATTTTCTCCAACGACTCCTCCAATGGCATCCCCGTTGAAGTGTTGTTACACCATCTCTAACACTTTCTTCCACCGTGAAGCTATTAGTCTTCGCTCCAACCACAACACCATCGACATAAACTCCCATGGCATCTCGATATGCTCCACCAACTGCTCTAGCTTCGTCTCCATCCAGAGTCGTTGCCCCTCCATCAACGCTTCCTAACAACATTTCTGATGGTGGGTGGTGGTGATATGATGGGCATGGACAGTGCTGGTTATGGTGGTGGGTGGTGATGGATGGTGGGATGATAATAGTAGTGATAATAAGTATAAGAATGAGTAATCAAAAATCATAAAAATATTTTTTAGAAGTTATTTCAAAATAAGAAAAAAAAAAAAAAAAGTCAAAAAGGATCCCGTTGAAAATGGAATTATTCCATCTGACCCTTTTTCACATAAAATTAAAAGATGAATTGATATATTTATGGAATCTATCGAGATTGACGGGGCTTGAACCCGCAGCTTCCATCTTGACAGGGCGGTGCTCTGACCAATTGAACTCGTAATAGGCTTTCCTTATGTAGAAGGTTTCTTCCAAATGACATAATTGTCTGATTTTTTCTTCGATCCTCAAAGAAAATTGATTCCTCCGGCTCCTCTTTTATCTTTAAGATAAGATTGTAGTTGATCCTCCTTTCACTAATGATTTTATCAATTTATAATAAATAATATTATATAAATTTAAAAATTAAATTTGATAATTTCGATTTGACAATAATATTTATTCAGATAGGACTACGAGTCCTTATTCAGATAGGGCTCCAAAACGAAAATCGAATCTGTTAACTCCAATTTTTTCGAAAAGGTTCATGTTCCTCGGTCTCTGGTCCTTTTGATACACAAGCAATCATTATGACAAATCTGCAGCGCTAATAAGAATCGAGTTCTTCTAAATTCAGTTCACTCCCTCAGCTGTTATTTCATCTCTTTAACTGCATTTTTCCTGTACAATTCAGCTCGCAGCAAATCAGCCATGTCCATGAGAAGAGGCAGACGAGGATTACATAAGCGTTCTTATCACCCAAACGATGAAAACTGGATGCTCAAACCTATCCATGATCATAGCCAAGGTATAGTCAACCAGCCCGACCTTGAATCCCCATCATCGTCAACACCTTCCACTTCTCTGCAAAACCTCAAACCACCCATCACGGAGGTACCCATCTCAGAATTCATCCCAAACGCTCCAAGACCGTCTCGGAATCGCAGAAACTCCAATTGGGTATCGCGAAATCGGCGTTCACTTGTGGGTAAGCCCCGGTTTGTCAAGAAATCTGATCTCGATTCTTTGAGCTCCAGTGAAAAGAATAGTACTAAAGAAGAAGACGATAGTTCTATTGATGGGTATGGTTTAGCATCAAAGACTGATTCAAATGGAGGCGTTACAGAATTGAGTTCTTCGAGATCTTGCAAAGAAGATAATGTACAGATAGAGGAAGACGAGAAGTATATAGATGGGCATTCATCGGTGGCAAACAATGGATTGGATGGAGGGACACTTGAGGGATCTGATTCGATTAAGGATGTTGATGATATTGCAAGCAGGTTAGGAGAGTTGATGTTAGAGGTGAAAGAGCCCGAGTTGTCAGACGAGCAGCTTAGAATTTGTGATCAGTTGCAGGAGGATGAGGTAATTGAATAAGTTTCTAGTGAATATGGTATGATAAACTTATCTTGTTTGGATTTCCTTAGAGTATACCGTGGGTTAAACTTGTTTGGATTTCCTTAGAGTATACCGTGGGTTAAACTTGTTTGGATTTCCTTATAGTACACCTTGGTTGCTTCACAGACAAAAGGGTGTGGCTTGGGAATAAATAGAATTAACTATTAAGGTCTGAAGTGTGAAACTGGTACCAACAATTTGTAATGGTCTGGTTGCTAGTGTAAAGTTGGGGAAGGGAAACTTAGATCTGATGCATGCACCCAATTCTTCGGATAGCATTTTAGATTTCCCAAGTTTATACATGTTCTTGTTATTTTTTCTGCAGTGTCAAATTCGATTAGATATATCTAAAGTTGATGTTACTGTCAAAATTTTGGCAGAGGTAAGACGTCTATAGACTAATGAAAGTGCTGAAATTAGAGTAGAATGCTAAAACTTGGTAACGTGGAAGAAGAAGGGGCTGGAAGATGCAAATACGAACAAGATGAAACTTGGTGGTGGAAATACTTCTTTATTTTTAATGTTTTGGGAATCCATTGGTGATAAATTTATAATATTTGGGCCCAAAAATGGGACTGGTTTTAAGATGATTCAAAAAAAGTTAACATGATGGCAAGTGAAAGAAGCAGCTAAAGTAAATGGTATAGAAATAAGCTATCCATGATGCCTGGATAGTCACTAGTACCAATACTATATTTAGGGAAGAAGAGGGAAACCAGGAAGTCTTCGCCATAATAAATGCTGGAAAACAACACTTGTAGAGTCTTGAGGTGGAACTGTTAAGACTAGCAATAATGGGGTGGATACATCAGAGCTTTTAAAAATAAAAGCCAGTGAGTAATTAAGCTGAGGCTTGCTGATAACTGCCAATCTAATGAAGGAAATATATAGTATCACAATATTATGCTGGCCGTTTAATTCTCTAAGCAGATGGGACTCTATAGAATCTTAGGAATATGTAGGTGAAGTTAGGTTTCTCTTGGTTTTCTATATCTTACCACGGGTAATTTTAAGAGCAATGATGTTAAATTAATGATGAAACAAACGATGTTTTTTATTTCGTGATTATATGAGGAAAAAGATAGTTAAGGCTTCATTGCCTACTGATTGGTCACTTGTATGTGAAAAAAAAAACACTGAAGAAGAGTTAACACTCAGTATGTAATGGAAAATGGTTTTAAGGGAGGTGATGGTTGCGAATGGTCTCTATTGTGCTTTATTCCCTTGGTGATGGTCCTCTTTTACCAAGAGAATTTGGCGCCCTGGTTGTACAGTTGATGTTTTTCTCTTTTCTTTTTCCCTCTAATAGTATAGTTAGATATCAGATCATATCTACTCAAGTTGGAATTCTCCTGTATCTTCTATGGTGCTTGTTAGGGTTTGCTATTATGTACTATGCTCCCTTGTATTGTTCTATTGTTGACTACTGGAAATCTTTCACCATAGTCTGGAAATTGCTGGGATGACCATCACTTCTAAAACTAAGACTCGTCAAAGTAATAGGTTAGCTTTGTGCTCTGAAGTTAGCCAGGGATTTCCTTTTCCCCCCGCTTGAAGAGGCAGTAGTGAGCTTATCAAACTGATGTGCTCCAGAGGGGGAAAAGAGGCTTATCAAATTCTGTTAAGTTGCCTTTGTGAGATATGTGAAGTTCTGAACAATTCAGTTGAAACATTTTCATACTTCTAGGCTTCTAGCAACGTATTTTGTTCTGATTCTGCCACTCTATCTCTATCTCTCAAACACACATACATTTCCATGTGCCTTTTTGCAGTTACTAGCTATGGAGTTTATTTATGGGGAGAATGTCTACATCCTTGACCAACAGAATGGACTACGATCTTTTCAGGTCTGTAGTGATTGAAAAACTATTTTATATTGTATGAAAACCAAATAGTTCATCAATTGTGTTTCATTTTGTAGATTCAAGTACATATTGAAGCTCCTACGGAATTTACCATTTCAGCAGAGCTGAATTCATCTAATAATCTTGGGGCCAAAATGGATAAGTCACAGAAGTTCTCATACTCTTTCAGTGTCCAATATCTTCCTCCAATTTTGTTGACATGTTTGTTACCTAAATCATACCCAAGTCATCTCCCTCCTTATTTTACTCTCTCTATTCGATGGTTGAATTCTGTCCAAATTTCCAATCTTTGCTCCATGCTGGATTCAATTTGGAAGGAACAATCGGCGCAGGAGGTTATCTATCGGTGGGTGGAATGGCTACAGAGTTCTTCTCTTTGTTATCTTGGCTTTGATCATGAGATAATTCTTGGTCCATATGGCATGAGGCACGCTGGAGACAGGCGTGCAATTTCAGGAAGTGTCTCCCCAGAAGTTGATATTCCTTCAATGAAGAGTTACAATGATGAGCAACTCTATGAGAACTTCTGCAAAGACTTCCATGAATGCTGCATTTGTTTTAGCGAGTTTGTTGGTAATTTTTATAACATATGCTTGATATAAGTTATACTTTGAAGTGTTTGATACAGTTATTGTATTTGGAGCCCAGATAAGTCAAAACTAAAGAGAGGCTTGGACCTTCATTTGGGACCTACTAAACCCATCAAACATGATATAAGATACATAAGGAATACTCACAACATAAGAATCTGTAATGGTAGCGCCCTCCTAAGGCCCATGACAAATTTACTAAAAAATTTTAATGTAAAGAACTTAAAATACAACTATAATCTTGAATGTAATTAATCTTCTGGGCAAGAACTAAATCAGAATGTTGCAAAGTAACTGCACTAGCCTGCAAATCTGGTTTTCCCATTTTCTTGTAAAGTCTTCCTGTCTCTCTGAGTGTGTTGTTTGCATCTGGTGTATGGGATTTGTGCCTTGTTAAAATGAGGGAAAGTGAGGTGGTGACTGAGACGGGTGATGTGGGAAATCTACACAGGAAAACAGGTGATAATATATTTATAGCCTTATATTAAAATGAAAAGGTTTCAGGTGAAAAAAGTGTGCTCATATTATAAGGCATTTTCGACTAAAGAGATCTTGTTTGGTTGAAATTCCCTAATTGAATGACGGTTTGGGACAGAGCTCGGAGGTTATGATGAAGAAAAAGAGGCAAAATCAATATAGATCTATCTCTCGAAGGTCATCTGTACGTCAAATGACCATTTCCTTGTATCTGATTCGCAAAAAAAGTGAACTTTACTACTGCCGTGACAGCAAAATATATAGAGACAATCACCCCCCTCCCCCCCTTCTTTTTCTCCCAGGAGGCGTGCCACTACAGATAGTAATGGCATGGGATTATTCTAAAATAATTTCTTATGCTTATTTTGCAACATCTTCGTTGATGGTTCCAGCTTAATACCCTGGAAGTCTGTAACAATTGGTACAGCTTATCCCGACTCCGATTATCAAGTCTTTATGTTATTATGACCATATTCAATTAGCTTTCTTCCTTTTCCCTTATCAGGTACAGAGTTCATTAGACTACCATGCCAGCATTTTTTCTGCCAGACATGCATGAAAACTTTTTCTGATATGCATGTAAAAGAAGGCACAATAAGCAAGCTTCTATGCCCTGATGCAAAATGTGGAGGCATGGTGCCACCTGGTTTGCTGAAAAGATTGCTTGGTGACAAGGAGTTTGAACGTTGGGAGTCAGTGATGTTACAAAAAACTCTGGAGTCAATGTCTGATGTAGCCTATTGCCCAAGATGCGAAACTGCCTGCATAGAGGATGAAGACCATCATGCACAATGCTCAAAATGCTTCTTTAGTTTTTGTACCTGTTGTAGGGAGCGACGCCATGTCGGAGTTGCATGTATGACTCCAGAAATGAAGCTCCGTATTTTGCAGGTATGGTGTCTCTACTTCTTGTTCATTTTTATGGCTTATTACTGGAACAACGGCAGCATAGTATTATAATTCAACTCCTTCTCTATGGAAACGATAGTTATGCTGCTTTTTTAGTTATTTTTATGGGCTGTGACATGCTGTGACCAAGAGTGTAGGGTGGCTTGATGCCCCTAGAAGCCTGTAATGAGGTGCTTCAAATAAAGGATATGGAGGTATTCTTGCCCATGAATTGGCTCCTTGATTGCCAGAGGCTGCCTGAAAAATTTATTTGTTGAATTTTGGTCTTTAGCTTCTTAACTCCATCATAATTGTTAGTTTATTGGGAATCTAAATTGTGAGTGGTTGCAGCCGGACAACCTCCTGATATGCACACAAAAATTTTAGTGCAGATTTATATTCTCACAAATGAGTGTATTAATCGTGAAATTATGCTTCTATGTTTCTCTCTCTCTCTCCCCTCCCTCATCCCCCCCCCCCCCCCCCCCCCCCCCACCCCCCCCCCCCCCCCCCCCCCCCCCCCCCCCCCCCCCCCCCCCCCCCCCCCCCCCCCCCCCCCCCCCCCCCCCCCCCCCCCCCCCCCCCCCCCCCCCCCCCCCCCCCCCCCCCCCCCCCCCCCCCCCCCCCCCCCCCCCCCCCCCCCCCCCCCCCCCCCCCCCCCCCCCCCCCCCCCCCCCCCCCCCCCCCCCCCCCCCCCCCCCCCCCCCCCCCCCCCCCCCCCCCCCCCCCCCCCCCCCCCCCCCCCCCCCCCCCCCCCCCCCCCCCCCCCCCCCCCCCCCCCCCCCCCCCCCCCCCCCCCCCCCCCCCCCCCCCCCCCCCCCCCCCCCCCCCCCCCCCCCCCCCCCCCCCCCCCCCCCCCCCCCCCCCCCCCCCCCCCCCCCCCCCCCCCCCCCCCCCCCCCCCCCCCCCCCCCCCCCCCCCCCCCCCCCCCCCCCCCCCCCCCCCCCCCCCCCCCCCCCCCCCCCCCCCCCCCCCCCCCCCCCCCCCCCCCCCCCCCCCCCCCCCCCCCCCCCCCCCCCCCCCCCCCCCCCCCCCCCCCCCCCCCCCCCCCCCCCCCCCCCCCCCCCCCCCCCCCCCCCCCCCCCCCCCCCCCCCCCCCCCCCCCCCCCCCCCCCCCCCCCCCCCCCCCCCCCCCCCCCCCCCCCCCCCCCCCCCCCCCCCCCCCCCCCCCCCCCCCCCCCCCCCCCCCCCCCCCCCCCCCCCCCCCCCCCCCCCCCCCCCCCCCCCCCCCCCCCCCCCCCCCCCCCCCCCCCCCCCCCCCCCCCCCCCCCCCCCCCCCCCCCCCCCCCCCCCCCCCCCCCCCCCCCCCCCCCCCCCCCCCCCCCCCCCCCCCCCCCCCCCCCCCCCCCCCCCCCCCCCCCCCCCCCCCCCCCCCCCCCCCCCCCCCCCCCCCCCCCCCCCCCCCCCCCCCCCCCCCCCCCCCCCCCCCCCCCCCCCCCCCCCCCCCCCCCCCCCCCCCCCCCCCCCCCCCCCCCCCCCCCCCCCCCCCCCCCCCCCCCCCCCCCCCCCCCCCCCCCCCCCCCCCCCCCCCCCCCCCCCCCCCCCCCCCCCCCCCCCCCCCCCCCCCCCCCCCCCCCCCCCCCCCCCCCCCCCCCCCCCCCCCCCCCCCCCCCCCCCCCCCCCCCCCCCCCCCCCCCCCCCCCCCCCCCCCCCCCCCCCCCCCCCCCCCCCCCCCCCCCCCCCCCCCCCCCCCCCCCCCCCCCCCCCCCCCCCCCCCCCCCCCCCCCCCCCCCCCCCCCCCCCCCCCCCCCCCCCCCCCCCCCCCCCCCCCCCCCCCCCCCCCCCCCCCCCCCCCCCCCCCCCCCCCCCCCCCCCCCCCCCCCCCCCCCCCCCCCCCCCCCCCCCCCCCCCCCCCCCCCCCCCCCCCCCCCCCCCCCCCCCCCCCCCCCCCCCCCCCCCCCCCCCCCCCCCCCCCCCCCCCCCCCCCCCCCCCCCCCCCCCCCCCCCCCCCCCCCCCCCCCCCCCCCNCCCCCCCCCCCCCCCCCCCCCCCCCCAAATACATGCACAAAACTTAGCACTTTCTCGCATTACTCTTCAATGGCAATATGTAGAGTTGCACAATTCTCAACACCATATCCACACCAAGATTATTGCATTAATGCCCCATTGGGTCTCTGGCCAGTTCTTGGACCTCTGGAACCTCTGGCTTGCATCCATTGAATCCTTTTTTTCTTTTCTGACTTGTGTGTAAACAATCTCATCCCATGAAAGCTATAACATTTTCTTTTTCTTTTCTGTTGCACTTTACTACATTCTGGCCAAGTTATGGTATAAGGTTGAAAGCTACTGCATTATTTCCATGATGCAAATTCCTCTACCTTAAATTCCAATCCCATTATTGCCAAGTTATGTAGCCAATAAATTCATTTTTAAAGGGGGGTGCTGAACACCTAAGTTGTGGGAGTCAGTAGGATTACTGAACAAAGCAATCATAAAAAATTGGCAGAGTATACATGTGTAGTGATAAAAAAAATTCTATTCCCTATACAAAATTTTTACATGGCCAGTTATTGTCAGAACCTGTTCGATTTGTTGTGCATAATATATTTTTTTTTCTTTCCTTTTTGTTAAATCACCTGTTGCGCCCATTTCATTTTTAGTTTATCTGTATTTTTCATTTGTGAGAGATTTTCTTAGTGACTTGGATTAGTTGGCAATCATAATGTTAGTTTGAGCTTTCATAATTTTTTTTCCTTAAAAGTCGAATTTTTTAACTTTCTGTTTGCCCTTTCTTCCTGTATTAAAGTGCTGCTATGAACTTGTGGAAAATTAAATTTGTTGGACTTCTTATTTTTTCTTGTAGGAGCGACAGAATTCATCTCAACTGGATGATAAACAGAGGCGTCGCGAGCGTGAATTAATCTATGAATTGAAGAGTGTGGAGGCTATACTCCGTGATGCCAAACAATGCCCTTCTTGTAAGATGGCAATCTCCCGGACTGAAGGCTGCAATAAGATGGTCTGTAACAATTGTGGGCAATATTTCTGCTACCGCTGTAATCAGGCTATTGATGGATATGAGCACTTCAGGTTTGTAATTCTTTCCAACAAAATGGATTCTGCTTTCATGCCTTCGTACTTGATTTTTTAACTGTCATCTCCATTCATAACTAAGCAGCTAATTCTTATTGAAGGGAAGGGCAGTGCGAACTTTTCCCACAGGAAATGATTCAGAACTGGGAGGAGCGGATTAATATGCGCCAAGTGATGGGTCAGGTTCAGGCTCAACTCTTCCCTGACCGTGGTCATCCATGCCCTAATTGTGGTCAAGCCAATGCAAAGGTGAGTGGATGCAAGCTGATTATCAGTGTAAATTGTCATGGAATTTAGTTGCACCATTCTTCTATTACTGTCAAGGTTGTTTGTGAACCTTGATAGTAAACCATAGAATTAACAATATGAGCGAAGAGAATTACACATGCTATTATGCTAAGGACCAAAAGAACCTACATAATGTAAAGAGAAAAAGTGAAATCGATTGTACTAGTCAATGCAAAAGTACATACTGTTAAAAAATTTAATAATGAAAGATGTAAAATGTAAATTAAAAGTTGATTTTTTGAGTTTTGTAACTTGTGTCAGACTTTTGGATCAGAATGACGCCAATGTTGGTCGCCCTGTAGTTAGTGCCTCTCAGGAGCAGAAATTACCAGATCCACACACTGGGCTTATTACCAACAAAGTTTGAAACTGGAATGTGATCTACTTTTACAAAAGCCAGCCTACATTAATAACCAAATATTTTATCCAAGAAAATTCTTTAACAAACCTCACAAGAACACACTAGAAAACCAACTGGTGCTACCTGTATCAGTAATCCACCATGTAATGAATTATGCTTCAAAAAGCCCCATATCCAGCTGTTTTGCTTCTCCAATTAAGATAGCAGGATATAAAGATTTATTCATAAACTATAAGTGAATAGCCGCTAACCATGCACAGGCTGGGCTTGGGGGAGGTGCAGGGAAGAGAGTGAGAGAAGACTTTGAACTAACAAAGACAGACTTGTGCTATGAGTTTCCAATTGTTAAGATAATCTGGTTTGCGGGATTTTCTGAGTTCTCAGTTCCTATTGTTGGCAAAGGGTGAAACCAGATTCATTAAATTGGTGCTGAAGCCTGTTTTTTCATCATGGTTGACATTATTTTCAATCTTTGTGTTCATTGGTATTCTTTTTAAGCATGGGTTTGATCGTTACAAAAGAAATCAAAATGCATTTGGAGCAATCTTTTTGTTTTGGGGAGCGCTTGATTTGCCCCTTTGATTTAGTGAGGATGTCATTTAACCTTCCGTCTCTTTCTCCTCTGTTGTAATCTTAACAGGTCGGCAATAACAATCACATCTTCTGTTGGGCATGCCAAAATCATTACTGCTACTTATGTAGAAAGATGGTGAGGCGCAGCTCTCAGCACTATGTTCCCAAGGGTTGCAAACAGCACACAGAAGGCTAGTTTCGGATGACCTTGTCAACATATTTTAAAGGGCAAACTCAACAATGTGGCATTATACTACAAAAATGTGCCTGGCAAACAGCAGATGAGACGACTCATGCAGCCTTGAAAGTAAATAAATTCACCTCATTCTCATTCAGTATATGGAGTCTCGTGAACTAAACAGCCTTTTCTCTACTCATACAAGTTGGAGCCTTACCATTGGAAGGCTGCCAATGACACTTATCACCTTTCTGCATAGCGTTTAGATTTATTATGTAAGCGATTCCCCGCCAACTGTAGGTGATTTCGAGTGGCTTTTGTTTTTGCTTAGGTTTTTACGGGTTAATACAGTGAGTTTAAATTTCTTATTGCCTTGGTTCCAAACTTTAGGCAGCGGGATGTTAATAAGTGACGATATTCCCTTTTTTGGTTGGTATAATATCCCAAATTTGTGTTACAACGCTACCATTTGGAGAATATCGCAGTTCAACCTCGAACAGCACGACTTCAAAGACCAAAGCCGAAACAATCAAAAAGTAAGTTGCACGACGCCTTTTATGGCATAATTGAAGCTTAGCATCACCTAATACAGAACGGACATAAAGGTTGCGCGAGTTGACTACTTTACCTTTCATAAACTCTTTTGAAAATGAGAATTTTGCAGACCGCTGGACACTATTTAACAAGTTCATCTAATAGTTTCGAAAGTTCAATCCTTTCAAATGATGTCACTTTGTTTTTAGGAGGACACATGAAGCATTGTCAAAGATATTCTCCTAATGATTCTACTGATTGAGGGGATGACATAATCTAAGACAATGACAAAAATTAATCTTTTTATAAATAAGAGGAGATACCTTAAAGAAAGATATTTGAAATCTCATTCTAATCACTTTCTTTCCCTAGCAACAGAGAAAACAGAGCTTATTTAGGGTGGACTAATCAAATTTTTCAACTTAGTGAACCACTAAATCACATGTTATTTCATTTTTTTAAGTTCTTACTTCTTGCAACGTCATAGAGTTCTTCAATTCTATACTCAAAATCAATCACTCATACATGAATACAATCTCTCCGATTGTCTTCGAATCTCTTTGTGATTCTCTTACACTCATACATTTATTTTACACTATCAAATTTCTTATAGAAATGTTGAATTACGTCTATTTGAATAAATCAAAAAATTTATTTTTATCATGATCCAAAAATATAAAAAGAGAGCGAAGTAACAGTGATTTTGTAGTATTAGTTTTGTACGTTGACAATTGTTATTTTGTTAATGTTTTATTTGACTAGACTGATGATATGTGAGAATCAAATCAAAACTCTAGGTAATATTATGAATTGATTGATTTCTTATAGAAATTGTTATTTCTCGGCTCGAATTCATAACCTCCAGTTTCAAGAGTTCTTGTTGCTCGAGCTAACTCGTGGAGATTTAATGTTATTGGGCAGTCGAACTTGGGTAACAGTAAGAAATCATAACATATGATTTGTGTTATTTTAGTCTATTAATTCTAGTTGTATCAATTTAATTCATATACCATTCGATTTATACAAAAACAAAAGCACATTGGATTTTTATTTAGTCCTCATAAATCTAGCGAAAGTACTGTTTAATTGGTATTTTGTCATTGGATAGCTTTCGGAGTGCCTTTATTTAATCTAATCCATTGACGGGTCTTATTTAGGATGGTAATCGAACTGAGCTTTTTAAGTTTGAGTTGAATCAGTTAAACTCATTTTTTTAAACAAATTTAAAAAATTATTCAAGTTCAACTCGTTATCCAACTAGAGTAGCTCGATTATTTTATATATAAATCAGACAATAATTATTTGAGCTCAAGTCATTTAGAAAATAAATTGAATTTGAATAAAATTTTATATGAGTTAAATTCGAACTGAGTCTGAGTAACTCAACTCGATTGTCAGTTTTACTTCTAGACAAAAAATGATATTGTTTCAATTAGTTTTTTTTAATAAATTACACTTTGCCCTATTTGAACTATTACCTATATTTTACTTTGCCCTTAATTATAAAATTTCTAACATTGCACCTTAAAAAATTAATTTTGTTTCATATCACTTAAATAGATGACGATAAATTTAAAAATCTTTCAAAGATGGGAAAAAACCCCCAAAAAAACTTTTCCTCAATTGTCTAGTATAACTTTATTTTACCTCTTTTGCAATCAAATAGTTGTAGGGAAGAAAAAAAAGTTGGGCAAAAAAAAAAAATTTAGAGTTTAGGAAAAACAAAATTTTGGATAGATATTTTTTTTTGTATTTTTGACAACAGTTACTAATTGGTAGTACAGACTACTTACATGCACATTTATTGTAAAAAAATTAATATATTTTATCAATTAGAGTGATATGAAATAAAATTGATATTTTAGGGTATAATGTGAGAAATTTTATAATTGAGGATGCAAAATAAAATAAAAATAGTAATTCAATAGAATAAAATGTAATTTACCTTTTTTTTTTTGGAATAGTCATAGCCAAAATTCAAACTCAACTTGGTTTCCCAAAAGTAAGGGTGTTCACCCTACCCTACGGGTAAGAAATATAGTCTTCCGTTTTATTACACGATATTTTGAGGAAAATTTTTTTCTTAACCTATCTTACCCGATCAGGTGTGATATTCCTATCCGATTAATTAGGTAACAAGTCAGGTAAATAATTTTGTAGCTATTAATTTTTGGATCATTTTAACAGTTTAATTAAATAACATACAATAATTGAACAACACAATAAATCAATAACACTAAAATCTAAAACAACTACAACAACAATTACAATAAAACACAAAAAAACATGAATATCTATCTATCATAATTCTTACACAAATACAATAACAATCATTTTAAGTTTAAATTATATGAAACATATTAAAATCATAATTATTTTAATAGATTATCAGTTCACCACAAATTATGTAACCTACACAAAAAATAAGTCTATATTTTAACAACTTAAACGTCCATAACAATAATAATGTTATAATATAAATTATATCACACAAATACTCTTATAATTATTAAAAAATATATAAAAAAAATAAATATATTTTTTACAGGAAAAAATACAAAAATTGATAAATATTCCATATTTTTATCCGATCTGATCAAATTGCTAAGGTAGGGTGGAGTAAATAATTCCGGCCAATCTACAATTGAACGCCCTGCCCAAAAGCCAAAACAAAACCTCTCGTTCCAGGACAAAATTACTTCACCTCAACCAGAGAGAGAGGTAGTTCAACTTTAAAGTCTTCCTTCACAGTTGTTGATTGGGTGTTACCTGGACAAAGCAATCAGGAAAATAGAGATGGATAGTTCCAGGAAGGTAGGTACTTTGAAAATTTTACGAAAAATTTTGGGTTTCGGCGTTTCTAACAACGAATTGAAGCTATCTGCAAAACATGGGAGTCTCTGCAAGTGAGAAGCTGGACAGATAGAGCGTTGGGGAGAGAAGAATCATTTTCCTGAGCAAACTTTCACTGGGTTGTTGTTTTTGAGAAAAATTTATTTTTCTGTTAACCTAATATAAATGGCGGCGTTTTCTTGTTGATTATCAGTTTTAAGCTATGAGCCATGAAAACCGGTGATAACAATATTCAATCCACAGAACTCACGTTCCCATGTAAGTCTAATTTCTCTGAAATTGTTGTATTCATGCCCTGTGTTATTGGGCTCTCTGTGACCTTCAGTTGAGTGGTCAAGCTTTAGCCTGTCAGTGCTTGAACTGCGTTAGATTTGGGGACCAAAACAGATGCTTTGCCGAACCAAAGAAGTTGGAATAGGTGAGGTCGTGGTGTTATTACTCAAAATTACCAAATTTGGTTCATGGGTATGTGCTTATTTCCAATAATTCATTCATTTGATTTGATTTCGACGTGTTTATACAAATTGGATTATTTTCGAGGTCGGGTACTGTTCAAAGAAAGTTGCTTTTGCAGAATGTATGGTAATGCTTCTTCAGTGTTGTTGTTGGATGACAATGTGTTTGATTCTAGTTCCGATGGCGAAAACAATTTAAAAAATTCTGTGTCTGAATATAATTCAAATGGCAAAAGCAATTTATCAGATTCCATGTCTGATTATTATTCGAATGGCGACCTTAGTTCAGCAAAAAATACAGTTGTTGACAGACAGAGGTTGCATAACCTTAAAAGACGCAAGCTATTTCCAATGGTAGTTAGAGTATTGAAAACTTTGGATTGGAAGGTTGCAAGAGAGAGAAAATTCTCCAGAGCTGTGAAGAAGTATGGGTTATCTCACTCCACCGATGCATTTAGGATTACCATACATGTATTTGCTTTGGCAGGAATGAATATAGAAGTGTATGCTTTGCTTAGAGATATCGTTGGCTACTATAAGAAGGTCAACTATGATTTGTTTAAATTGTTCCCCACCTTTTTGGATTCACCTAATGATGCTGTAAGATCAATTGTTGTTTTTGATGTACTTATCAAGGTTTTTGCATCAAATTCATTGCTTGAAAATGCAGTTGATGTCTTTGCGCGAGCTAAGGAAATTGGGCTTAAACCAAGTATTTTCTCATGCAATTTCTTGCTGAAATGTTTGGCCGAGACAAACAGAGAGGAACACCTTAAGAGTTTATTCGAAGAATTGAAGAACTTTGGACCGGTTCCTAATGTGTTTACCTATACCATTATGATGAACTTTTATTGTACAGGACATTATGGGCTAGAAAAAGTGCATATCCAAGCAGCTACAAAGATTCTGGAAGAAATGGAGAAGATTGGGATAAGCCCAACTGTTGTAACTTACGGAACATATATTCATGGACTTTGTAGAGTTGGATTTATTGAGTTTGCATTAGACTTCATTAGGTACTTGAGACATAGAAATCAGCCTCTCAACAGTTACTGCTACAACGCTGTTATTCATGGCTTTTGCAAAAAAGGTGAACCAGATGAAGCTTCCAGGGTTTTTGAAGAGATGAAGGGTAGTGGAGTTACACCAGATGTATATAGCTATAGCATTTTGATTGATGGATATTGTGAAATTGGGAATCTCGAGAAAGGGCTTTGTCTAATTGAGGATATGGAATCCAAGAACTTGATACCATCTCTTGTTAGCTATAGCTCATTCTTAAAAGGTATTTGTAAAAGTGGACTGATGGAAATGTCCCTAGATATATTCCATAAGCTTGGGACATCCGGGTTTAAATATGATCATCATGCTTACAACATCTTAATCACTGGATTTTGTGTGCATGGTGATTTGGATTCCGCCCAGAAACTTTTAGAGGAGATGATCAGCAATGATCTGGCTCCCAATGCTTCAAATTTTAAGAGCCTGATCCATGGTTTTTGTAAGATGGGATTCTTGGATAAAGCCTTGGAGTTCTTCAATATCATGCTGGAAGGAGGTATTTTGCCCAACATTGTTACCTGCAATTCTATTGTTTCTGGTTACTGTAATGAAGGACGTGTAGAGGAAGCTCTACTACTTATGGATGAAATGCAGGACCATGGCGTTATCTCAAACATGTTCACCTATAATGCACTTATTAATAGGCTGTGCAAAGAAAGGAAATCGGAAAGAGCGATGGAGCTAATCTCTTTGATGCTTAAGAGGAAAGTATTCCCCAGTGTTGTAATCTATAGCACCCTCATGGATGGTTTTGCTAAACAGTCCAATACAGAGAAGGCCCTTAGGTTGTATGAAAAAATGTTGAAAGTTGGGGTTACTCCCGACATGGTTACATGTACAATTCTTATCAACATTTTATGCAACTCAGGTAAAATAAAAGAAGCCTATAATTTGTTTAAGGAAATGATATGGAAGGGCTCTTATCCTGATAAGATCTCATACACATCAATTATAGCTGGTTTCTGTAAAATTGGAGATATGAAAATGGCATGGGAATTGTTCAATGAGATGCAGAGACACCATGTACCTTCCATTGTTACTTATACTTGTCTGATTGATGGATTTTGCAAGGTGAATCGGATGGATATGGCAAACACTTTGGTTGAGGAAATGAGAAGGAAGAAGGTTTCTCCTGATGTAGTCACTTATAATGTTCTCATTGGTGGGTATCGAAGACTTGGACAGGTGGATATAGCTAATAAGGTGTTCGACGAAATGAGGAAGGAGGGTATATTTCCAGATGATATTACCTTGAGAATGCTAGGGTTGGATTCAGATGCAGTTAAGGAAGGTGGTTGACAGAGGAGGAAACAATTTGATAAAGACCAATGGTAGTACAGTGGACCTCTTTTACTGATTATTTCTTACATCTCCTTTTTACATAGTACTATTTACTAACTTCTTGTTGGGTATAATCTCTCCAAAGCAAGTGCATGATAAAAACAATTTTATTTGCATGATCACCATTTACATCTTGTACACTTCTATTCTCCTTGAACTGTTAAATAGGGCAGGAAAATAGCTCTCCATTGAAACTCAGAAGTGCTGTTATTGTACCTCAATGGGGTTATCGATATTTTCTCCAAAAAAATGTGGAAGTATTTTGCAAAATTTCCACACAATTAACAAAACTAGGGACTCAGGATATATTCAGGCTGCATTCAACAACCAAAGCATGTTATATTTTCATGATTTCGTAAACAATTTTGAAATTTACATTACTGTTTTGCAGATGAGACACGTAATTTGGCAAAGTTCAACTTATGACATTCAGAATGGTTCCAAGGGAGCATGATTTAAGGAACAACTGTTTCGCCATCTCCAACAGAGTATAGGTTATTCAAACTTTTTTTCACTGAAATTTATTTTGCAGATTCATGTTAGATTGCTTGCATTTTTTTTTCTTCTTAAACTGCTTTCGAGCTTCTGATTTTGCATGTAAACTTGGACTTGTGTGAAATACATCAATCTTTAAATGTAGTAGAAGTAATTCTGGGTTTTTGGGCCTTTATTTCTTCAGCTTGAAGGGTCCTATTGCATGTAATGGAGATGAGATCATCACCTTGTGTGGCTGATCTGAGCATTTATTAGCGTCAGTCAGCAAATGCAACCTGGTAAGTATTGCAGTGATTGACCTTGTATAGCTTGCAGAGCTTAATAGTCTTAACTTTCGACATAATTGAGGAAAATGAAGTGGTGTCCTTTGCTGCTTGCCCCAGGTTTTGAGAGTTGCATGCAACTTATGAGTGACATCAGAAGCTAACGCTTGTTGGCACCCCTTCATCTCCTTCTCTTTCGGGCTTTTGGTTGAAGTTCTCCTCTTTCATCTATCCTCTTTCAGCTTTACAGAATTTACACAGTAATAGTTGTCGCAACAATGGCTACTTCAGTTACGAATGGGATCTAAATAATTGCGACCCAACAGGGTTGTTCTTCACCAGGTTCTACATTTTTCTTCTGCTCCCGTCCTCTCCAAACACAGACACACCATGGTTGTTCCCATTGCTGAAACAGCTTAAACAGGTACTCCATCTCTCTTTTTGTATAATATTTACTCTGTTGGATTAATTTTTTTTTTTTTGATAAATGAGAATAAGATTTAAGAGTAGGTACAATAACAAAAGACAGTAATTAAAAGCATCCTAATGTAGCATGGAGAGGATGTGCATCCAAATTCACTTGAGCCTTTGTTGAATTTGGCAGTTGGTCTGGCTGGAGTGGACCTGTATAACCCATAGCGAGCCCCCATCTTGCTAATTCATGAGCAGCACCATTTGCATCCCTACATGTGTGTACAAATTCCCATTCCGGATGATGCTGAAGAATGACTTTTATGTCTTGTACAATTGAGAGCACAGTCCAATGAGGTTTGACATGAGGGAGAATGATGGAATGAACTACAATCTGTGAGTCTCCTTCTATGAGCACATAAGACTATCGCTTGGCATGTGCCCATTCCACAGCTTGCCTTGCAGCTAGAGCTTCAACTATGAGTGGGTCTGTTTCTGTTACGATCTGGAGTTCACTTCCTATAACTGATCCATCATGAAGTCTGGCAATTGCTGCAATAGATGAATTCTTATTCTCCACTGCTGCATCAAAGTTAACTTTTGTAATTCCTTCATGAGGGAATCTCCAAAATTCTGGTGGTTTTTGGATTGGTGGGGCCTTTGGATGGATTTTAACTTCTCTAAACTCATCAAAGGTCTTCAAAACTTGCTGGAGGAATTGATGTGGAATGACTAGTTGACTATTGTGAAGAGTCTTATTCCTCCAAGTCCAGGCACTATAAGTTAAGATAACAGTGAAGGAGGGCTATTAGGTCCAAAAAGGATGGTGGGATGGAGGATGTTCTGAATCCATTCCTGTAGACTGAGGTGAGAAAAGGAATTTGTGCGAAGCCCCCATCTTGTGAACCAGACCATCCTAGGCAAATGGCAAAGGAAGAATAGATGCGTGGCTGTTTCTGGATATTGGTGGCAAATGGGGCACAGGATGTCTGGTATAGAAAATCTGCTTGCTAGTAAAGTTCTAGTTAGGAGACACCCTGTAGTTAATCTCCAAATGAACATTTTGTGTCTTTCATGAATAGAAGCCTGCCATAATTTCTTCCAGTCGCTTTTTGCTAGGTAGTGACTTTGTGAATCTTGCACAGCTTTATAAGATTTGTAGGCAGGCTTGTAGTGAAAATTCCCATTCCTGTTCGGTATCCACAATAGCTTGTCTTCCCTCTGAGAGGTTGGGATATGAATTCTTAGTATAGCATGAATGGTTTCTTAGTATAGCACATTTTGAATTTCATACTCTAGCTGATACCTCTTTGCAAAATTAGACTGAACAAATAGTATAGCCAAATAATCTCAAATTTCTTTGGTTGTGCTAAACTTGGCTAGATGAACTGAACAAATAGTATAGCCAAATAATCTCAAATTTCTTTGGTTGTGCTAAACTTGGCTAGATGAACCCCAATGACCTGATCAATTGAGTTGCTGATCTAAGTGATAATTTTTGCATTGTTTATGTCCCAAGTACTCTTCAAATCAACATACTTTTCTGTCTTAGTATCAGTTTGAGCTTGTGTAGCACACTAATGTAATTCTACATGGCCTTCCCCAACAATTTTTTTTTCATAACAGTAGTCCAAAAAATATATTTTCCACCCATTAATGTCACATAGGCTGAAGAGAATTAGAATTTCCACTTGTGATGGGTCAATAAGGAAGATCACTAACAATTATCAAAACACACTCAATCAAATTTGTCCAGGCCAAAATCCAAACCAAAAAATCAGATTTAGGAGAAAGTCCAATGCCAAACCCGTCCAACAAGCAAATTTATAAGCCAAATAGAGATTTTAGCAACTCCAAACCAAACAATAACAAAAAATGAGCAACCCAACATATTGGAAGACCAAAACCATTGCTAGAACAAAAAGAAGGAAAAATCCACAACTACCGAAACAAGGAAAGCTGAAGAACCGGGGTACCGAGAGATCTTAGCCACTCCAAACCAAGTAATAACACAGAATTACAGCACCCCTACACATACCCAAATCACTGCTAGAACAACCAACAGATAAAGCCACAAAAAAAAAAAGGGAAGTCGAAGAACAGTGGTGCCGAACCCCTTTGGTGGCCAAAATCAAGCATAAAACTCCTCAACGGGCTTCAGGTCTCTCAAGAGATGATCATGGAAGCTTTGGTCGCACCTCTTGGAGAAAATTTGAACCAAATATTTTTGGCAAAAAACCCTAGATCTAATAGATCAAAGAATTTTGGCATATTTTGCCAAGATCACGTTAATAGTTACATGTTCACGCCATTCATGTGCTGTCTATAAAGTCGAGCAACTAGAATATTTATTCTCTTACTGTTGTCAAACTCACAGACTCGTATTATCTCTGGAACGCAGCGTCTTCTGTGCCTTGTTAGCCTCTCTAAGTCCCTTGGGATGATGCTGGTATTGAAGGCTTGGTTTTGGGTTTTTTTTATCATGTTATTAGTCAAAGTTAGCGTAGTAGCTGTAAAAGTTTAATCAATGATCATAAATCTCTCTTTGTGGGAGATGTCAAAGCCGGTTAAAGCCTTAAAGGAGAGGAAGCTCTTAGTTTGGGCCTTGTGGATGCCCACTCCACTTCTCATTTGCTTCCAATTAAATCACGGCTGAAACATAACCATATGACTGCATGTCTAACATTGGCAGGAAGCTGAAGTGTTCCAAGATCTTCTACATTCAGATACTTGCAAGAGCTTGATTCACATCTTCTTTTCCCAACGTGGAACCACAAAGGTTGAATATATTTTTGTATTTTCTAAAAGTTAGAATGTTAAATGTACCTAATTTTCTACTTAAGTAGGAAAAGACTGGCATTATTTTTGTCCACTAAGGTAGGATCTAGAATCAAGGATTTGACAATAATTCGTGAATGTGACATGATATTTTAGGAAGTTTAACACTCCAAGAATCAATTTCCTTTTCCGTAATTAATTGACTCTTATTAATTAATGACAAAACATCAACTTGGTTGAACGTGGTTTCGAACTTAGATTTTGGATTTCACTTGCGGGAGTTTTTAAACCGTTTGGGTTGATTAATATCAGTAAATCTAAGTCAGTTCTAGTCAAACATCTATTTTGTGTGATTGTCTTGATGATTTATATGAAGCACTCGAGTAAGAAGCTCAATCTTATGGAATTATTACAGTCGGGGATTTTGCAACTAGAATTTCAGCTTTATGGTTTAAACTACGGCAGCTTTGTTGATTAATTCAGCGAATTCTTTTTGTCTCAACACTGCAAATAGGTTTGTGGCATTACCGATCTATGTTTGGTACCAAGATGAATAAATAAGGTTGCGATTCTTGGTCGAGGATTAATGGGATCTGGGATAGCAACAACACTGATTCTCAGTGATCATCCTGTGATATTAAAAGAAGTACATGAGAAGTTCCTACAGGCTGTGATTGGTAGAGTCAGAGGTGGGGTCAGATTGGTGTTCTGATTATGTCTACTACTTGAGTATGTTAGGAAATGGTTGCTTACTGATGTTCCTTTTACTCAGCCAATTTGTAAAGCCGCATCAAGAAAGGGAAAATGACTAGAGATAAATTTGAGAAACTTTTCTCTTCTCAAAGGTGTTCTCGACTATGAAAGCTTTAGAAATGTGGACATGGTCATAGAGGTATTACGGAAACACATCAAATATATCCCAACATGTTGTGATTTGTTCTCTTTTTTCCATCTGAAATCTTCTTGTTCCTGATGTTTGCAACTGGCTGACGTTGAGAATGTCTCTTTAAAGCAACAAATTTTTGCTGATCTTGAAAAATACTGCCCTGCCCTCCAGATTGCACACTTGCGATTAACACTTCCACTGTCAACTTGGACCTAATTGGTGAGAGGACCAGGTATCATGATCGCATTATCGGTGCCCATTTTTTTCAGGTATTCTGTTGGATGGTAATCATTATTTTTCTTGTGTTGCTTTTGCCTGGTTAGAAAATTAGTTCATGGTTTATGATGCAGTCCAGCTCATGTCATGCCTCTTTTGGAAATTGTATGACTGGGGTTAAATCGATGCTAATTCCAATCATGCAAGAGGATAAGAGATCAGGTTTTTTTTTTTTTTTGGTGGGTTTCAAACCTCGAGTGCTGTTGATAAGCCTCTTACTTTGTTTGTCTACGGGTTGGTTAAATGTTAAAGCAGTTCTTAAACAAACAATGTGTTGGCTTAGGTGAAGCTACTTGCAAAGGGTTCTATGTCTACGATGATAATAGCAAGGCACACTCAGATCCGGAGGTTAAAAAAAGGCAAGGGTGATTTCTGGTGTTACCATTAACCCAAAGGTTGGTCTCTCTCTCTCTCTCTCTCTCTCACACTCGCACACACATTTGAGGTTGGATTGGTGTCGCACTGTTTTACTTTGGAAAGAGATGCAATGATATGTGTCATATAATCCCACCACCTCATAACTACACTGACGTCGTGAACAATAAATATCACTTCCAACTTATTCTCCCTCCCTCTTTCTCTAAATTGTGGGATTGAACTTGGGCTCAGTTGACAAAATTGTCGGAGAAGGATATTGTCGAGATGGCATTCTTCTCTGTGGTTAAAGAGGCCTGCCGAGCACTTTTTGAAGGTATTTGTTAAAGCAGTTGACCTGGACATTTCTGCTGTGATGGGCATGGGGTTCCTGCTTTACAGGTTTGTGATTACATGAGGTTGAAGGCATTTCCTCCAAATGTCATAATATGCTCATAGTAATATATTTTGATATGCTTTGAACAGGGGAGGAATTATGTTTTGGGCCGATTCTGTTGGCTCAAATTACATTTACTCGAGATTGAATGAGTGGTCAAATATGTATGGAGGATTTTTCAAGCCTTCGTCTATTTGAGAGGCGCCAAGGGGACTCCTCTAGTAAGTATTCTCAGGCTGACTTCTGTGGTTGATATGATTAATAATTCATGAAAATAAAGAAGAGCATTTAGAACAGGGTCATAGTTATTCATGACCATTGGACATTATCTTATCTGATAGATCCACCTTTGTCTGTTTTAATAGTCATGTAAAAGCTTTGGTCTGGTGCAAACATGTGGTCACATGTAGTCAGCCTGTCTAATCGACTTTCATGCCATTTGGATCAGGCCCGCCATCTATTGGGTCTTGTCCATAAGATCAACCTTGCAAGAAATGGTAATATGATTCAACTATTCAGGAAGTTCTAATCATCTCCATGTGTTTGCTTGACAATTTGATCTACCAAAAATTAGAACTTCTGGAATGAAATCAATTCTGTAACGTTCAGTTGAATCATGCGTGCATGTCTGGAATTCATCACTTGACTGGAGTCCATCACATGATGAGCCATGATCGTTTTGGTAACTGGCCAAATTGTGTAAGAATGGCTCACGATGATGTTAATACGTGGTGCCTACAGAAAGCTCTGGCCTATGAGTAAATATTTGATTTTTTTGGTTGATTGTAACATATACTTCCTCCGCGTGCCTGCTTTGCCTGCTAATATTGCATTTCTAATAATGTTCGTACCTGTTCACTGCAGAGTTCTCTAGTGGGGCAAGCAAAATCTCACCTATAAGTTTGATATGTTGGTTGCGTTCTATACCATGTTCTCATTTTTATTTTTTTCTCGCGTATTCCCTTCTTTTGCCTTCTCTACCTAGTCTTTCTCAAAAGCTAGAAAGAAAGCTCAAGAAGAGTTCAATTGGCAGCAATGTTATTGACACCACTTGGGGAATAATGTTGTGTAATGAACTCACTTCTGTAGTGTTTTGAGATGCGACAGTAATTGTAATTGCCTTCACAAATTTTCAGGTTTTGGTTTCGTCATCAGGTCAAATGGTTACTGTTCAAGAATGGTTTATGCATCATTTCGGATTTCACCACCCCCATCTTTTGTTTCGAGGTATCTTATATTGTATTTTGTTCTGGACTTTTATAATTTTTCTTGTCAAAAAGAATATATTTCCCCACCTTCAGAGTCATCAAGAGTGGGGACTACCCCAATCAAGTTAATGCTTATCATTCATAACTTATACTGCAACTTCTTAGGTTCGTATCTCACAACTCATGGGTGATATAGAGGTAGGAGTCCTATATAACAAGTCCTGCTCAAGTAAGGTTGTGATACCTCGCAATTTAGGAAGATGTAGGTAGTTATTTGTTTTTATCTACAACACATCTGCCTAACGTTCAAATAAAAAAATTGCTTAGCAAAGTGAGAATATGTGATTCATGCAATGCCCCAGTAGGTGAGACATTGGGGACACGAAACTACCTCTTTAAATCCGACCATTGTCATAATTAAAAAAGCCTATACCATTGCAATCATATAGGTGTCACTGTTTCCATAATAACTTTGGTTTTCCGAAGGGATTGAGGTATTTTTTAATGTTACAGAAAAGGTGTTCGAGTCTCAAGTACTTGATTATATGCAGTTCTCTCAATTTACATATATTGGTTTGGTTGCAGCATTAAAGGATGGATTACAAAATCATAACAAATTAAAAATCTATAATCTAATCTTTTTATAATAACCAACTATAACCAGAGTGTTTTTTGGTAGTTGTTGAACCACACACATGAACACAGTTTCTTATTAAAATTCCTAATGTAATTTTTCTGCACTAGGTTGTTTTTTTGCTATAAGAGCTAGCAAGTCTTGTGTCGGTACCTCATTCTCTGTGGAATATATTTTATTTTCTCATGGAAATGGCTTGTACAAGGAGGCGCTCAGTTGATAAGTATGGGCACTATAAAAGGCCAATTAGTTTGGCAGCTCCTAATTTTGGATCTAAATACCACTCCATATGTTTAGATCTAGCTTTTTGTATTTATGAGGGGTCTAAAGCATTATTCCAGATTCCTATAGTTTACACCCAAGTGGCGAACGAGCTGGCCTGGCGTATGCATTTAGATGCCTATATATGTGGTGTTCCATTGGTAATGGTTAAAACAACTTCCGCCTAGCCTCTGAGTTTATTCTTTTTATTTCATTGTCTACACCTTTATTTTCGAAAAGTAGGATTTATCTCAACCGAATTTTATTATTATTTCTGGCTTTTCTTTGATGTCGAAGTTATCACTTAAGAGATTTCGAAGGGCTCAATACAGATAGCCCATAGGGCCAATTTTGCCATATCACCCCACCCCCCTTTTGTTTTGAGCCGAGAATCTTATTGTGGATATATAGTTTTATTTTAAATGAGCCCATAGGGCCAATTTTGTCAACCATTTTTAATGCCTTTGTTTTTTTTTGTTGAGATCTTCTTTCCACTGATTCCAAACACAATAAAATGAATAGTAAATTTTTTAGGGTGTTTAAAATAGAAATATGTTAAAACGTTTCAGATCTGATTAGTTACCAAGTTATAAGCTATTTTGAGGGGTATAGAGTATGTTCCTCCATGGTGTAAGATGTATTTTTCTGAAGGTGGCATGATAAGTAGGCCTATCAATTTATGTCGGGTGAGGTGGGTTTATTTTAGATTTTAGCGTATTCGTGTCAAAAAATATTTTACTCATACGTAATTCGTTTATTAATTTGTGTTTTATGAGTTGTGTCGTATCGAGTTTGTGTCGTATATGAATTATGTATAATCAGTATATAAACTAGTCATGTTGTTTATTTCTTTTAATTGGTTTAACCTATTTATTAATTGTTTCTATTTGTTTACGAAATAGGTGGTTTAAAAAAGACTAACGCTTTAACTTTGTGTTGTGTTGATGAATTGTGTCATATTTTGACACCTTTAATGTTAAGTGTTTATCCAAAGCATCTGATTTTATTGTCCAATTGAGAATAAGTAGATGATAGGTATTTATTTGTGCTACCTGCCTACCTTTCCCTCATTTAACCGATTAGTCTATTGGGTTCAATGTGGAATTATTTACCAATATACAATCGGTTTTAAACAAATTTACTAATCTACAATAGTTTTGAACTTATTTATCAATCTATAACACATTGTAAAAATGGAATCAACAAATTTGCTTTCAAAGGGGTTTATTAGAATTTTAAAAAAAACAATTTTGTTGAATTTGTTTTCATAATTGTTGAAGAAGGCGGACACTATAAAAATGGATTTGTTGACTCTATTGTATAAGAGAAAGCGAAATTATTGACTTCACTTTCAAAAAGTATCGTAAATTGAAAAATAAATTCAAAACTGTCAGATTGATAAATTTATTTAAAACTAATTGTACATTGATAAATAATTTGTTCAATGTGCCTCCTTCAAGAGTTGGGACTTTATCTAGTCCATTACTTATTATTAATATGCATGTGCATTGTTTGGGAAAGATTTGAGGGTTTTCCAAGATACAATAGCTTATGGAGATAGGTGTTTTTTTCTTTTTTTCCTTGGAGGCATTGTTCTCATTTTGTCAATGGACTTTCCATGATAAGAAATATATCGTTAAAAAGATGGTATTCTTGCAGAATTTTCAATTGTAACTCATATGCTAATTGTAAATGGTATGAGTGTGCATCAACTAATAATTGCATAAGAATTTTTTTTTATTTTATCAAAATATCCCACGATTTAGTCACTTGTGGTCATGCAAATTTTCTGTTGCAAGTTAAATTATTTATGTATCTAAATTCGGAATTGAGATTTTTTTCAATTATATATTTTTATTTTTTATTTAATGACAAATTGCTTATCATTTATTTAAATTATAATTTACTATTTATAGTTTGGTTTTGTTTTTATACATCATAAATAATTAATTATTAAATATAATTAAATAAAAATATAATAGAGTCAATATCAATTTGGGTGATCAAGTAGATTAGACTGCCAACGGCATATTTGATGGGTGTGGAGTGTAAATAACTCTTATTCATACCGAAGTACAGTGGCAATTAAGTCATTTCAGCTCCATGAATCGTCGCGCCCGCTAAATGACCGGTTCGTGCCCGTTTCCTCCGATAGTCCCCCCCTCTTCTCCATTAACTCCACGACTCTCCCTTTTCTGTCTCTCGCTCGTGACCGGTCACCCATTTTCTCTCTCTGTAATTACACATTCTCTCTGTAAAATCTAGGGGTTTACTTTCCATCAATGGGGTTCATTTCGAATCCCTCCAAGTCACGAACTTAGATAACATAAAAACCCTATGTTTCTTGATTGATGGTTTCCGGCGACATGGAATTGGCCTCTAATGGCGGCAGGAAAACCGCCAGCGACGGTGCTCTGGATCCTCCACTGCCGGGTTCCAGCAGCGATGCCGAACGCGAACACCCCACCGCGGTTCCTCGTGAAGACCTACGATATGGTGGACGACGCTGCCACCGATAAAATCGTGTCGTGGAGTCACAACAACAACAGCTTCGTGGTTTGGGATCCATCGGAGTTCGCGAGAGACTTCTTGCCCAAGTATTTCAAACACAACAACTTCTCGAGCTTCGTTCGACAGCTAAACACTTACGTACAAATTTTCCTTTTCTTGGTTTTTGGTAAATAATCTTAGGGTTCTTGTGTTTGGTTATGTTGAGGTAATTTTGCAATGGTATGAGTTGTTTTCTATGGCTGTTGTGGAATTCGGGCTAGACTACCGTTTACTCGGTGGATTAATTGGTTGTTTGGAGTTTTGTTTTCGGGTCATGCACTATTATAGGGAGGGGGACGAGGTTCGAAACCCATAACCTCCCATTAGGCCAACCGCTAACCTCTCGGTGGTTTGGAGTTAGGAGGTGGGAAAAACAAGAGAAAATAGTACAAGTTGAGTTGTAGAGTTTTAATTTCCAAATGACTGGGTTATTATGCTCTAGATTTCTTTTTTCTTTTTGGCGGGTCATTGTTCATAGTCTAAGGAGAATGTATCATTATGTAGGGAGAAGGGAAAAAAACATCATTTACCCCAATAACATTAACAGACCCCAATACTTGTCCACTGCACTATTATGCACTTACATTTTTAATGTTTCTGCGACCAAATAAATTAAGTCAAAGGAATCTCGGCGGCCTCGGGGGGGGGGGGGGGG